TTACGCAGAAGAAATTACGGGAACTAAAGAATCTCCTATTTTAGTAGAAAATTACTCATGTCCAACAAAATACAGGTACGATCTAAACATCATGATCTTACTTTGAAACTCTTCGAAAAGTTACACTAATGTTGATTTTCGGGTGTTGTACTATACACTTTGATGGTATACAAATATCTTCTCACGATGATTCATCTTCTCGTTTGTACAATATTTACAGGTTTACGATGCCACAGTCTTATAGGATCCATGTACATTTAATTACTTAAATTCCACAAAAGTTTCTTATAATAATGAATTTTCACAATGAGGTGGTATCGATCATCGACTAGTCTTTTTACGTTTGCGTTTTGACACACGGGACGGATTCCATTCTGGATCGACATCGGTGTAAGAATAATTTACTTTAGGAACGTTTCTTTTTGAGCTTCTTGTTTGGCGTAGATGTGACTGTGATTTTTTTACCCTCTTATACGTTCCTTCCTGTTCCATCGTCTCTATCCCGAATTGTTTCATCGACGTCACGTTCGATAGATCCATCTCTTTTTCTTGCGCGGATGTTTTAACTTGCCTTTGAAGGCAAGACTCTTGATACACGTGTATTCGATTTTTCCCCGAGATCAAGTGGGAATTGTAACGATAGTCGTCGTGTGATTCCTCAGATTTAACGATTTGATCGGATTTCTTTCGCGTACCGTCCAACACTTCTAAAGCGGCTATGGATATCATAGGCACAGCTGGATAACTCACTTCGCCGTATCCCATAGCACGCGCTTTCAGTCTCTTTTTTAAAGGTAATTTATTATCTGTATCTTTTTTGAATAAATCCTTTTCCGAATCGCACTGCAGTTCCAATTGCTCCAATGATTTAGTTTTCAAAATATTCTTTGCTTTTTCATGCTCGTGGACGGCAGGGCTTTGTACTGATGAATGCGTCGGCAAAAAGTATGGGCCATTTTCAATACAGGGAACGTGAGTGTCTGTAGCCGGGTATGAACATTGTCTGCAATGCGTAGCAATATCATAGGAACAATTTAGACAAGAACAATGTGATCTTTTACACGGGGTGTTCAACTTCGCGTAGGAATGCAAGGATGTTGTAGCATTAATTTGCAGATTGCACGACACGGACGTGCAATGCTTATGATACGGTACACACAGTTCTGCATTTCCAGCACAAGCACCATAGATCGGTGGTAAGCTGGTCGGATGACTGACAGGAATATGTAAAGAATGTTCAACTGCATTGAATCCTGGGATCGCGCAGTTCGAGACACTGAACTCTTGCTTGATGTTCTGTCGGGATACGAGATCTAGAGAAGCCACAGCTTCGAACTGTCCACAGTCTTCGGTCAAAGGTATCCAATTCTTCTCCTTTAGATTGATATCTTCGTCGCTGTTGTGATCTTCTGAATTCTCAACTGCTTTGTTTATAATGTACAGATTACTGTTAGGGGATTTTTGTAACAGAACTATGGTTTCTCCGTTCAATATTACGTTTGTATTCTCTTTTATCGTTTGCATGTTGTTCTCTATGGGGGTCAAATTATGCGTCAATGTGTCCATGTCGTAATTTATGCTTGCTTCCGGATGAGAAATGACATTGCACAATTCCGTGTCGTTTCCATTTTCTGCTTCATTAGATGTTATTTCTACGCGAAGTGCGAGTTTATCTATGGTGTCCTCGGGATATATGCCAACGATTCTATTAATAATTTCCGTGGATGGATTTTCAAGTAACTGAGAGACGGTGTTTGATGAATCGTTTGTATTGGCCTCGTCATCGCTGACTTGACTGTAACACGTGTATCTCAAAGATGCGTAATCTTTCACCTTTATTTGTTCGGACTTCACATCGGTTTCAGGCTTTAAATGTGGTATATGCTGTGAAACGCTAGCCAACAACGATAAACCATCGATATTGTCTTGTAATTCAGAATTTTGAACAACATTATTATCGCATTTGTCGTCCGGCGATATTACTTTTTTGGTTTCTTTATCGTTAATTACATTAAAATTAGAACGATTAGAGCTAACAGCATTATCATCAGAATCGCGCTGTGTACATATCATGGTATTATTATTTACACCTGGACGTTCTGTTTCTAAATCACAGACATTTTTTAAACTTTCAACTTTTTCGTCCTCTGCAGGCTCTGAGAACACGTCCGTTTCTATCAAGTGCTTGATCACAGTTTGTTTATTAAAACTATTATTCACCTCTTCGTCGCTCTGCATATTCAAAATATCCGCGTTACTTAAACAATTATTATTAACAACACTGCTCGAAAGTGTTTCATCGATTACTGTAGATGTTTTCGCATTTACCTCTTTAGTATTGACTTGCGTAACAGTCGATTTTCTTATACTCTCTGTACAAGTTGCTAATTCCTCGTCAATATCCATTTTATTTTCATTATTTTGAAGAACGACCGTCCGGCATGTATTAGATTCATTTCTTTCACTGAGATCTTCCGTGGTACGTGTCGATTGAGATGAATCTTCCGATCTATGTCGAACACATCGCGAAGTGCTCTCCATGTTTCTCTGTCTTTTCTTCCTTTGCGATGATGATTTTACCATCTTCGAGTCGATATTCTTTTTCACCTTTTCTAACCACGGCAACTTTCTAGATTTCCCCTTCTTTATACACTTCTCGAGCACTGTATCACTAGTTAAATCAATAATTACAATTTGATTGGATTTCTTACATTTCCTTCGCAAACGATTTTTGTTTGATTTAATTATTTTAGAATCAATATGCTTCGTAGAAATTTTATTCGAAAAAGTATCTAAACATTTAAAACTAGTTTGTCCTTCCAAATTTAGAATTTTAAAATTATTTAACAAAGAAATAGATTCATTCTGTTTATTTTTATCCGATATAATTGAATTCACGTTATTATCTACATAGTCTATATCTTTCTTAACCTTATCTTCCGGCTGAGCATAAACATAAATTATTATTAATTTCATCGTAGAAAAATGTTATCTTTATGTATGTATGTATGTATTAATCGAAATTTTATTGCTTTTATCATTTACATAAAGATAACTTTATGTAGTAATTAGTTTCATTTAGAAACTGAAACGTTATATTATAAATCATATTCAGTTTTAAAAGTTATAAATCATAAGCAGTTTTAAAACTTATAATCAACATTGATTACGATTCAAATATAATACATATATAAAAAATATGTATAAAAAGAAATTATATTAATAGGTAAATATATACCATATTTGAATTAATTCTATTGGAAAAATCAATGGAAGTTCCATCCTGGTACACACTTTCACTGCTTTCCCTGCAGTATTGTGCAAACATTTCACAGTGCTTTTTTATATTAAATTTATGCTGCAATAGAGTTTTTGTAGAATTTGGTTGATTCTTTGGCACTTTTGGCAACACATCCTCTAATACATTTGATGAGAATGTAGATGGCAATGGACCCAGAGATACCATTGCAGCAGCTGTTATTTGATTTTTTACAGCCACGTTTTCATTTATTTTTCTCCACAAACGATAAATAAAAAAGTAACGAATATACATAATACTTGATTCTGGATGTATAGGAATATCTCTTATTATTTTCCTAAAAAGAATATTTGTAACCAATAAATTAGTGAAACATAAATATGTATTATTATTCAATGTAACGAATGAAATTAAATTTTAATTTGAATTCTCTCTCAAAATATTGTTTATTAATAGACCATCTGCTAAGTAACTGAAGGAAATATTGGCTTCAAAAACAGTTCTTATACTTACGTTATAATTGGATCTAAAATATGATGATAACTGCGACACATAAATTGTATCTTGATCAAAGTATCTAATAAATGTTCCAAGGAATTTTCTGAAAGAGGTATATATAAATCTCTTTTTAGAATAATATCACAGTGCTTAATACGACTTGTATCAAATATCTTCATACCTAAATAAACATAAAGACAGGAAGTAATTCTCCCACATATTTTATCATGATCTTCTTTGCTTTTCCTAGATGCTTTTAATTCCATATCTATATAGAATGCTAATAAATCTGACATATAATTTAAATAACTGAACCTATCATGATCCTAAAAAATGTGTAAATTTGTTTAATTTGCAGTACCATAAAAAAAAAACAGCATGCAAATATTTCAAAATTGCAGAATAAGCTTACCTCTGAAAGTTCACGATAAACATATAAGAATAACAATAAAGTCTCACTAATAGAATCCTTTAATTTTGAAGCTCTTGAAGGCTTTGTGTAACATTCATTTACACTGACACTTATATTTCTGTAAGCAAATTATTTTCTGAAGCCTTTTTAATTTTCTTAACACAATATAAAATTTATAAACTTACAACATGCCATTCATTTTTATCACAACTAAAACTTAAAACTAGTACAACTTTTTGTAATTTGAATTTTAGCTGTTTTTTTTTTTTAATTTTTATGGTAAATTTGTATTTAAGTATATTCTATACATTTCATTGATGTTAATTATAAAGATATATAATCTTGTCCTAAAAGTATAAAAGAACTTGATGAGGAAAATTACAAGATTATATAGTTTTCAAAGTATGGATAAACTTTGCTTTCAAAGTTGTAACTTTTGTATATTAATTTTTATAACTCCAAACTATTTTAATGATATTATTATTATTATTACTATTACTACATAATTTTATTCAAAACAATTTCCAATATATCTCACAATAATTGTTCAAGCAATATGATATTATTTTCCAACACCAATCGCAATTTAATATTTATGAAAATTATATCTTCGTAAAATTCTGAATCATACAGTTGTTGTTTTCACTTATTTGTCTTTTGCTACTTCATTACAATGCGTACTAATAATTTTTCCATCACGCGCATTCGTGATAATTTTCGTTGTTTGATGTCAATGAAAGAAACACGTTTTTTTTTCAGTTTCTAATGATACATGAATTCAATGTAATTCACTGATTTTTAAACCAGTTCCCAGAAAAAGATGTTACTGGTAAACTGAAGCTAACAATGATACAAGCTTATAACAATACCATTATCATTACCTCACATAAAATTGCATAAGCTCTGTTAAAGATGACATACTTTTCCACGTATGTATAGATCTACACAGTTTCCTAAATTCTAGAATCCAAGGGAACAATTCGGTAATTGATCGTTTTGATTCATCATTGTTCAATCTTAACCTTCCGCTCTTTTCCTTTTTGGTATCTGTATATTAACAAATAAATATTTATTGAAGGGAAACATGTTTATTCGCGAATATTTTATAATAATATTTTTACACGAGAAATTACAACAACGAGATAGATAATTTTTAACAAATGCATTAAAGAGCATATGACTTGAAATTATTTACAATGCAATTAATTCGATTCTCCGAGAATACTGTACGAAATATTTTGCTCATATATTTAATAATAATAGTTTTACCATTTTGTTCGAACGAAAAAAAATCTGTTTTTGTATTCGAATTAGATTTTTTTTTTTTACGAGAAATTCATCGTTTCTTTTTTTGTAGGAAAACAAAATCTAAAATCTCGTTCACTTTGTGATTTTAATTGTTCGAATAAACAATTTGACACGAATAAAAAATTTCAAAAGCAAAGTATAGACGCATAACAAGCTTATGTAACGTTTTAATTGAAACATATGTCGTAGTTACGTCTCACTTCGCGTCCGCTCAAAGTTTTGCATTTTGCTTGAGAAATTTATATTCTCGAAATATTCACTTCGATATTACGTGCACTTATATCACGAGCTCAATAAACACTCTCCAGCTATAT